AGAGACAGACGTGTGGACAGATGGACAGACACACTGTAATAAAGCCCAGAGACAGACGTGTGGACGGATGGACAGATACACTATAATAAAGCCCAGAGACAGACACACTGTAATAAAGCCCAGAGACAGACGTGTGGACGGATGGACAGATACACTGTAATAAAGCCCAGGGACTTGATGAGGATGATGAGAAGACAGACCGTTGCGCTCTGCGCTTACCGTTGACGACGGTGCGGCGTGTGATCTCCCACAGGACCAGCCCCAGGGCCCAGATGTCAGTCTGCTTGTAGGACTCGAAGCAGTCGGTCCGGATGGACTCGTCCAGAACCTCCGGCGCCATGTAGCGCTTGGTGCCCACACGCGGGTTATTGCCAATGTCCAGATAGTCATTGGTCTGGGAGTGGATCACCGCCAGGCCTGAGCACACAGAGGAGAGAGGAGACACACGGCAGAGGGGGAGAAAGGAGTCAGTGGAGTGATGGAAAGAGAATTTATTTCCGAACGGGTTTTCCACAAACAGGGCAGTAAAGAGAATGTAGGAACGTCTGGATATACAACTGGGCTCCCCGGCTGTGCCAGCCCCCTCCCCCCTCACCCAGGTCGGCGATGCAGCACTGCCGGTTCCTCTTGACCAGGATGTTGCGGCTCTTGAGGTCGCGGTGGGCGATGGCGGGCTTGCCCTGCGTGCTGAGGATCTCGGTGTGCAGGTGCACCAGCCCGCAGGCGATGGACAGGCAGAAGCGCAGGCAGCCCTCGGGATCCACGCTGGTGTTCTGCAGGAAGTCGTACAGCGAGCCCAGCTCGTGGAAGTGCGTGATGAGCCACAGCTGGGTGCTGGAGTTCTTGGAGGTCATGTCTGAGCCGATGAACCCTGTCGGCGAGGAGGAGAGGTTGTGATAGAGGCCCACTAACGTACTGACAAGAAATACACTTCCCTCAACATATTAGAACTTGGTGTTCTAGAGGAGGAACCTAGTGTGTCTGAAGGACTGGGATTGTCTTGGCCCATAATCTCTTAGGACTGTAAAGAAGTAGCAAACCAGGCTTTTCCCTTATTATACAGTACCACACTATGTAAACAAAAAGGGAGATACAAGAAACTTCCTAAGAGGCCAGGATTGTTGGTGTACGTGCCTCTGGCACACCATGGACAACAGCAGACCTGGATAATGTGGCAATTCAGATAGCCCCAAACGAAAACTCTTTTCATCATGAGGACAATCTGCAGACAATGGCCCCCCCAGGACCAGGACTGGACACCCTAAGGACACACTGTCCGCCAGGACCAGGACTGCACACCCTGCAGACACACTGACCCCCCAGGACCAGGACTGCACACCCTGTCTCAGTGGTTCCTGTCTGCCAGGGCATGAGTGACCATGAAGAGCAGGACTCACCCAGGATGTTGTCATGGCGGAGCTGCACGGTGTTGTAGATCTCAGTCTCGCGGAACCAGGACTGCTCGTCTCGCGAGGAGAAGATCTTCACCGCCACGTTCTCGCCCATCCACGTGCCGCGCCACACCTCGCCGTACCGGCCCTTCCCTGCAGCACACAGACACACGGTGCACGCCCATCACAGTCCTGCGGGCACTGTCAGCTGCGCTTACAACCAGGACTGGACACCCCGCAGACACACTGACCCCCCAGGACCAGGACTGGACACCCCGCAGACACACTGACCCCGCAGGACCAGGACTGGACACCCCGCAGACACACTGACCCCCCAGGACTGGGACTGGACACCCCGCAGACACACTGACCCCCCAGGACCGGGACTGG